CAGCCACGTTGTGCGGTGACTAATATTGATGAACTTAACCCGTCCTAGCAATACAAGGATCTAAGACATCTCCAGAGGCCTTGTGATGGAAAACGCTACCTACACCCAAAGAAAGAACTATGGAAGCCGAATTGTTATTTCTTTTTCTCTTCTGTTGAGTTTTGTTTCCTCTTTCTGATGGTTCCTCCTATTGGTTTTAATTTCTACTTACAACATCACCAATGTGAAAATATGTTTAATATGAAAAAAAAGTTGAACAAATCCTTGTACAGTCTGACGCTGAGTGAAGTGAGCAGAACCAGGAGAACGTTGTATACAATAATAACCACATTGTGCGATGACTAATATTGATAAACTTGACCCTTCTCAGCAATACAAGGATCTAAGACACCTCCAAAGGCCTCGTGGTGGAAAATGCTATCCACACCCAAAGAAAGAACTATGGAGTTTGAATGCAGATTGAAGCATAGTATTTGCTATTTTTTTTCTTCTGCTGTGTTGGTTCCTCTTATTGGTTCTAATTCTTACTTACAACATGACTAATGTGAAAATATGTTTAATAGGAATGCATATGTATATCCTACACCAGGTTGTGCGCCACCTTGGGGAGAGTGGCAGGGAGGAAGGAGGAGAAAAATTTTAAACTCAAAAGCATATGGAAGTGATTGTTGATAAATCAAAATAAATTAATTTAAAAGAAAAGTTGAACAAGTCTTGCCAAGCTAGAATGGCTTTGAATGTGGCCCTAGCATTTATTATGAGAGAAGCATAATTTTAGAGTTTAGAGATGCCCATGAGAAGTTGGCTTCAGGGTCAGGAAGCTCTTGGTCACAGGAATACTGAAAGACCATCTATTCAGTCATAGAGAAGTTATGAGTTACATCGATGTAGGAAGTATCCATAAAGGTATGAAAATAGTAATGATAGTAACAATTTGAGCTTATCTAGTGTGTTCTGGTTTAAAAGAGTACCTTTCCCAAAAGAACCTCTAGGTCATACAAGTAATACAATCTGGGGTTTACAGTAGTTAAGGAAACTGAGGCTTGACAAGCTGAACTGACTGGCACAGTCACACTGGTAGCCTGACAGCTGGAACTCAAATGCAGGTTTTCCATTCCAGGTTTAGTGCTCTTTCCACCACAATGAGTAGTGCAGCATAACCAAGAGCTCTTATCTTGGCAGTGGTCTGGTCTTAGCCCTTCCCCAGGCTTCTCGCAAACTCTTCATGAGCCAGTATGGCAGTGAATTCTCTCCTCATTTGTCTCAGCAGAACACAGGGTAAGAATTCTGTTGTGAGAGAAATGTTCCTTGCTATGACTGGGAAGCTTTTAAAACCAGAAATTTAGCAGTGCAGACGAGCAAAGAGGCCTTCCCTTATAAAACTGAGTGAATGTGGACCGCTTTCAAAGGGCCCAACTCTCTAATTTTCCGCACACCTCCAGTAAGGTGCAAAAGCCCACTGCATACGATGGTAAAGAGAAAAAGGGGATTAGGGTCTACAGTCTGGGTAAGGCACTAATACTAGTATTCCCAAGCTACAGTAAATAGATATCAAAGAGATCTGAAGCAGGACTATAAAACAGTTAATAGCTAACTTCTTAAGGATAACTTGGTATACTTAAAGACTGAAATGTAAAAAAAAAAAAAATCAAGCATCATCATCATTGTTAGCATTTTAATTTTTAAGTAAAAATATTGTATCTATTAAAATATTTATTTTATTTGTTAAAATACTTAACATAGTATTTTAATTTTGGCAAAACCCTTCACATGTATTATCTCATTTGATCCTCACAAAAATCCTACAGTGCAGGTGTTATTATTATCCTCATTTTACAAATGAAGAAACTGAGGCTGACAGAGGTTAAGTGATTTGACCAGAGTCTCACAGCTAAGTGCCCCAGGCAGAACTAAATTCAGGTCTTCCAACTCGAAATCCAGCCTCCTAGTTGCTCAGATAAAACATTAAACTCTAAGCTTCAGGTTCAAATAGTGCTTTTACCACCTACTAGTGATTATTTGTTATATGTGCAAAGTTAAATAATAACATAATAGGAGTATTAAAAGGTATAAGTAAGCACGATAATAAATTTTAAGTTCCAACCAAAATCCCACCTTCTACAGGAAGTCTTCCCAATCAACCCCTCTTAATTCTAGTAACTTCTCTCTTTTAATTATTTCCTATCTATCCTGTATAGAGTTTGCTTTGTTTAGTATAGATTTGTTTACATGTTGCCTCCCTCATTAGAGTGTAAGCTCCTTTGAGGGCAGGGACTGTCTTTTGCCTATCTTTGTATCCTCAGGGCTTAGCACAGTGCCCGGCATATACTAAGCATTTAATAAATGTTTATTGATTGATCATTTTTTGACTTTATATAGCTATGGTCAGATAAATTTTCAGATTTAAAATACAGGTATATCTTATAGGGTGGGCCTGAGACACAAATTTAAGTCATGATGGCAGCATTGTTTTGGTACAGCAAGGTGGCACAGTAGATAGACAGGTCCAAAGTCAGGAAGACTCATCTTTTTAAGTTCAAATCTGGCCTCAAACATTTACTAGCTGTGTGACCTTGGGTAAGTCACTTCACCTTGTTCGCCTCAGTTTGCTCATCAGTAAAATGAGCCGGAGAAGAAAATGGCAAAGCAATCTATCTCTGCCAAGAAAACCCCAAATGGGATCACAAATAATCAGACACGACTGAAATGACTAAACAAAAGCAACAGTATTATAGGAAAGAAAACTTAGTGTTATTTTTTAAAAACCTACAATTTGAGTACTTTCCAGAGGTAAGGAGGCAGCAATAATCTTTCAACTTCCCCTGTCCCCATCCCTCTCCTAACCTCACCAAAACAAAAACAAAAAACATACTTTTTTTTTTTAAATCATAAGGTCTGGCCATTTTAGTTTATACCAGATCTGCAATAAATTTGCTGCAGGACCAAAGAAGTCTAGTCATATGCAGTGTGAAAAACCAAACCTAATGACATTACCAGTTCAATTAAACCAACATGTGCTGTTGGGCAGGGAAGCTGGTGCATATTGCTTTTGTTGGCTCAGGCATTTGAAATAGCATCACTGCTGGCCAACCTGGGCCCAAATAGGACTTTTAGAGATGAACAAAATAATGGGTAGGGGGTAGTCATAGTAATTTAAAGGAGGAAAAGTTTTACTACCCAACGCTTCTCAGATTGGCTTCAAAGGTAATCACAAATCAAGAAAAGATAGGCTCATGCTTCCAGAACTCAGGTCCTTTGATAATCCCAGGTCTGGAAGTTACCAGGAAAGATCATCCAGTCCAAACTCTGCCTTCTTATCTGTGCGTGTGAGATGGGTGTCTACTCCCTCCATAAACATCTCCAGGAATTTCACTTGGGCATATTCAAGTAAGGAGCAGTGTGGCATGGATGGAAAGTTGGTCTCCATTAAGAAGAGTCCTGCCTCTGATAAACACTGTCTATGGCACCCTAGGCAAGTCACTTAAGAGCATAGGTTATAAAATGAGTACTGATCAATGGGATCCTCCTATGCCAATAAAATCACAGGTTCTTCATTTAGACTAGCTCAGAAGTGTCTAACACAGAGCCCACTGGGTACTTAACATTTCCAAGTGCAGCTGGAACCAGTTTAAAATGTAACTGGGAAATAAAACTACACACACACACACACACACACACACACACACACACACACACACACACGAACTGCTTACATTGAGATTGCCCAAGACAGCTCTTCCAACAAGGACTCCACAATTTCCCAGCCCACCTCCCCACTCCATGTCTAAAGCATCCAGAAGACAAGGGCATTTAGCTATTTCTATCCCCTAAGAGATGCAACATCATTCATTCGACCAATAGTTCATTTAACGACTCATTTCCCACCCAGCTGCTCTCCTGAACTTCATGATCTCCAGAAATTCATTATTTCTGCAAGATGAAATCAACTCTAACTCTCACACCTCCTCAGCATCCCTTGCTCATGTCATCCCTCCCTCCCTCCCTCTAGTTGGAGAGGGTGGGGAAGGAGACACCTGGAAGCTTCTCCCATATCCTCCACCATTTTAAGGAGGGAGAATGGCTAGGACATTCATCTCCATCATTTCCCAACAGACTACTCTCCTGGACTTCAGGGTCTCCAGAAACCCACCATTCTACAAGATGATATCAACTCTGAAACTCATTCCACCTAAGGTTATTTCCCAACCTAGCTGCAGGACTTCTTCATGCACTCCCCTGCAATGAGTACCCTCCCTTCTCCTTTTTAGTTTCTTTTTATGTGTTGCCTCCCCAGTTAGATTGTGAGCTCCTTGAGGGCAGGAACTGTCTTATGCCTTTCTTTGTATCTTCAGCGCCTATGGCAGGCACTTAATAAATGTTTACTGACTCTGTGACTCCGAAGCAGTCATTCAGTCCCTATCAATTCCACCTGTATTCAGGGTTTATTAGATCCTTTTCAGAGAGCTTTTGATAGGTAGACGAGCACAGGCTTCTAACATTGGTCACTGGTCTCTCTAGGGAAAGGAGGGAGGGGAAGGGGTGCAGAACACAGAGGCCAGCAATGTAAAAAAAGCAAATTTTGGCTCTCTTCCTCTTTCTTTTCTTTTTAAAAAAATTTTTTTTTGGTTGTTATAAAGGATCATTCTCTGAGGGAGTAGATTGATGTAGGGAGAAATCTAGGCAACATACAAACAAAAGATATCAACAAAAATCTGTTTAAAAAGAGAAGTTGGTGGAACCCTGAGTCTAATGCAAGAAATAACAAAGTTCTCTAATAATATCTAAATATTTTTCAACAATAATCAATTTTATTTATTTGGTCAGAAATGGATAAAACCAAAATGCTTACTTATGTCTCTGATCATAGCTGGCATTTTATAGACAGAAGTCAAGAGTGATGTGGTTTCTGAAGGAAGGAGGGACAAAGAGAAGCTTTAGGAAAGTGTGTTGGGAGCCCAAGACCACTGGGTCAGGAGCCATTTCTTTCTGATAATACTCACCGAGTCTGGGTCTCGCTGCTGTTCAAGAAAAGCTGAAAATTCCACAAGTCGAAGTTTAGTTGTCCCAATGGAACGGCCCTGCCACGCAGGAACTGAGGGTGCTGGTGCGGATGTAGGCTCGAACCCTGAAACACCAACCAACCATGACCTTCAAGCACTAACCATTCAACTAGATTAAACATGGATTCAACCTTCTCAAGATCTGCAGGCTCCTTAAGGAGACAATGTTCTTAATAACTCGATCTGAACTCAGGTTTGGGGGGGGAAGGACAACCAATTCCATTAGCATCCCAAGAGAGACCCCAAGCCAATGAGCTGCAGTTGTACAAGGGGTTTTTTACAAAGGCTGCACATCCCCAGTAGACTGAAATTCCTTCCTTATTATTCTGACATTCAGCAAAGGTTTCAGAGCAAAGATTCTCTAAGATTTTTAGTCTTTGGCAGTCTAGTGAAGCTTATGGACCCCTTCTCAGAATAGTGGTTTTAAATGTATAAAATAAAATACATAGGATCATAAAAGAAACCTATCATATTGAAATATAGTTATATATATATATATATATTTAAAGTTCTGTATTGACTGATTTTGCTAATTTTTTTTCTTTTCTTCCTCTTTCTCTTTCAGAAACTATTTGTTATATGAGATGGCTGTCTGGAAGTAGGGAAGTAATATGGAGGAATATTAAGTCAATATAAAAATTTATTTTAAAAAATCAGCTCATGAACCTCTCTCACCATCCCTCCCCCAATCTATCAGACTTAAGGTTAAGTCTATCAGTCTACTAGGTTAAGAATTCTTTTTCAATAGAGATGGCTTTTTCTCTCCAAAGACAGAATTAGAAATACAGATAATTTCCTGAGAGACCATGACAAGTCTCATTACCTCGCTTAGCATCATCTCTATGAGAGAGTTGTCCCCATCATTAGAAAATGAATCCTGAGCATGGACCGTGTTTTCAGAGATACAGAGCAGAGGAGAACATATTGCTTTTTAGAAAGCTTATAAACTAAAGAAAGAGGCTAACACTCCTCTCTTCTGTAATTGGGACAAGTAAGAATAGCAATGGGGATTAACTGAATGTTTAGGACAGCCTTGCCTTAGCTTGTCCTGTGTGAAAGAGCAGTCTGGTACCTTCTAATGAAAGTCACAGGTCTGACCGAAACAGATGAGAATCCTGTTCACTGCTCTAACAGGCTCTTAAAAGGCTGCCATTAGGATCATAGGATTTCTTGTTGACACATTATAAACATGGTTTATAATGATTTAGGGGTCTCCAGTTTGTGTATGTAGTTCAGGGCTCTCTCTTAGGCACAGGAGCCCTGGGAGTAGCAGTACCTCCCAGACCACCAGTCCTGAGTCCAGCCTGGTCCTCACAGCCATCATTTGTGGAAGCAACTCCTGTGGAAACAGGGCTAGTTATCCAATTGCTACCTACAGGGTAGCCTAGCTGAAACAGCACGGCACCCAGAGGAGAAGAGAGGAAGCAACATATACCAGGCAAGTCAGACTAACACCATCATCTTGACCACTAAGTCCCCTCAGACCCTGATGGAAGCAGCCCAGGACCCTGAGCCCAAGAGCCTTGGGAACAACAGTCCAGTGCCCTCAGCCATCATCCTGGAAAGCAGCCACTATGGAGATGCCGCTTGGTCCTTGCTCCTGCAGTTGCTAAATCCATAACTTCTTAACAGCAAAGAAAGTTCTTGCCACCAAAGTTGCTGGCACCATCGAATGGTTCAACATTAGAAACTGGTATCATTTTATCAATGGAAATGACATTAAATAAGAGGCATTAACATCGTTTTGGGGACCTTCCTATCTAACTTGCTGCTGAAACCTCCCCATCAGAATGGGAGCTCCTTGAGTGTAGCAACTGCCTCATCCTTCTAGCTTATCTCCAATGCTTAGCACTGCTTTGCACATTATAAGCACTTACTCAATGCTTCATTCATTTATTCATTCTTCAACACTGGGGGGAAGTACTCACACTAATCATGCCTAAATAAGAGAGATGTATAAGGCTACACAGAAGGTGACAGCCTTGTATGTCATCTGCAGAACCAGGGGGCTTTACAAACTCTCCATGGTGCCTTGGGAAGGATACCCAAAGCAGACTTACCTGGAATGGGGGCAGTGACTGTGGGCTGGATGGGATAGGCCTGCTGCACGAAGGGTTTGACACTAGAAAAAAGGGACAGAGAAAGACACATTAAGACCATATTGGGGGAGGGGGGCAGCTAGGTGGCGCAGTGGATACAGCACGGGCCCTGAAGTCAGAAGGACCTGAGTTCAAATCCGGCCTCAGATCAAACACTTGACACTTACTAGCTGTGTGACCCTGGGCAAGTCACTTAACCCCAACTGCCTAAAAACAAAACAAAACAAAAGAAAAAAGACCATATGGGGCAGAAGAAAAAGGGGCTACTCAAGAACTGAATCTAAACTCAGTAAGAATAATGCCTTTCTCCGCCTAGAAGGCATACAAAACTCTTGTTGTGCGGATAGGTTCTGAGATAGGATGCCAAGGAACAACTTCCATTCCTAAACTGTGTCTGGAGAAAAAAGGGGAGGCCTTCAAAGGGGGAGGACAAAGCAAAGGGGAGTGGCAAGTGATAATGAGCTGAGAAGGAAGGAACCCTATGGACACCATGAAACAGTTCCTTCCGTTACTGGTCCAGCGGAAAGGATGCTAAGTATGGAGTCAGAGAAGCTGAGATCCAATTGTGACTCTGTTCCTCACTGTCCAGTGAAACTGGGAAAGTCACTTACTCCCTGTACCTCAGCTTCCTCCACTGAGGGAGTGGGAGCTGAGATGGCTTCAAACGTCCCTCCGGCTCTCACTCCAGCACCCTAAGACTCCCTTCACGGAATGGCATTTACGATCAACTCCACCATGTTTGCCATCCATAGATTCAAACACTCAAAAGTTATCTTCCTAATATCTCATGTAGCCACATGCCCTCGTTTTATCCTCTGAAGAGACAGATATTTTCCATGCAGCGCCATGAGAGATACTAAATGACCTCCTTGAGCTTCTTTTATTATAAAGGCTAAAAGAAAATAATCCTAATTCTTTTGAAAGGCAACTCAGTATATAGAAAGGAAAAAAATCCTACACTCAGTGTTAGACCAGGGCTTAAGGTCAGACCTACATTCTTAGGAAATGGGTGACTCTGAACATGTCACTCGATGTCTCCAAGTTTCAGGTTCTTCATATGCAAATGGCAACGGTATCGCCTGGCCTTCCTACCTTACAGGGTGGTCAGAAGAATACTTATATTTTGGTTACATAGAGATTTGAAAATTGCAAGCATGTCACAAAGAAAGGATGTGGCAATGCCCTCTAATGTGGGAAGTGGGGTCAGTCCCTTGGAACTCTTCTAGCCCCCAGGAACACAAAGATCCTCCATCCCCAGAAACCACTGAGCTATAGAAAGCCACAGCTGAAGGTATGGAGAAGGCCTTCTTATCCAGTTCACATCCGAGCTAGAATCAGCTCTAAAACATCCCTAACAAATGCCTCTCTCCAGCTTTGCTCTGAAAATCTCTGGAGCAGAGGTTCCCAACCTTTACCATGTACTGCTTGGCTTTCAGTGAACTTAACCATGACCCCTATTCAATCTGAAAGGAAATTAATTCTGCAACTTACTATACACATACAAGATACAAAATTGAGAGAGAAACTGGATCCCTTTTTTAAATCACTTTTAGGAACAGAGCTGCATAAATTAATTTAAGCAGAATTTTTAACTTCATTGATTGGAAATTAATTCCAAAAAAAAAATCAGATCACAAATTTTCGCTATATCCTCCTGACAAGTTTCTCCAGGTTGGGAACCCCTGCATGTGAGTGAAGGTGAAATCACAGCTTCTTGAGGCAGCCCATTCTACTTTGAACAGCTCTAGCTCATGACTTTTAGGGAGAAGAAATTAATTAATCATGCTAATACAACTGCATTCACAAACAGCTCGTTATTTAGAAACCTGATTGTTTCAGTGTGATTAAAGGAACAGCTCACCTGAATTTATATGACTCTGAATTATAGAATATTTGGGAAGGTTTGGGTCTGTTTGTGGGTTTTTTTTTTTTTGGTGGAGTTCAAACCTGTGACTTTTATCATGTGGGGAATTGCTGGTGAGGAAACCCCTCTAAAGATACAGACCAACAATTGTCTAATAATTTGAAATCGGCCTGGGGCACTGAGATAGGGTCCCACAGCCAACGTGTCAGAGGAAGGAACTGAGCACAGGTCTTCCTGACTCCAAGACCAAGTCTCTGTCCACTGTTCCACTCTGTCCCCCTGAAATGCACTTTTCTAGCTCTTGACACCATAGTGTACTTCAAACTCCCAAGACAGTAAGTACTATGAAGTAAAAAGCACTACCCAATTATAAGATTTTATATACTGAGTATCAGAATAATTGGTCATTGTATATGGCAGTTTTTCAAAGGGACTCAAATGCTTTTGTGATCATTCCTCCTCTAACCTTATTACGCCATGTGCTTAGTAAATCATTTCTTCATAGACAAAGTGAAGCCAGAGCGGACGACACTGATCAGCAATCCCAAAAATGTACGTTTGGAATGAATGTGGCTTCACTATGGTGAATACTTTCCCTAAAGGTTGAATTCAATATAGCCCCAACCACACTGGACCTTAAGAGTTTCTGTCTGGAAAATCAGGAAGTCAGGCCACATGATCTCCAAGAGTTGTTCCAATTTGAATCCCCCATTTCCCTGTCTTTTGGCAGCACATTTTTCAGACATGCACATAGCAAAGGTTTTTTGTTGTTTTTTAAAAATAAGGCCCTACATTTTAAACTTACTCTTGTGAAGATCCCGGCTGACCTGTTTGTATCATTCCTGGCCAGAACTGTAAAAGATATTTAATAATTAAGAATAATTTCTGCAAAACATACACACACCCATTCTAATGCTAAAACTTTGATACTTCAGTGATTCCTGACATCACTGTGGTAGTCTCTGCCTCCCCCAACATAGATCCCAAATTAACCACACCTTAGTAGATGGTCCTCTTGAGGTGTTGTCCCCCTCTTCCCCAACCCCCCATTCATCTCCCCGAGATCAGTCCTCCACGGATGATTCTCTCTACACTTAATTAATCCAGCCTTTGAACAAAAAACACACAGGCCATCACTGGTCCACACTTCCAGCTTGGCAATACCTGACCAAGATGGCATTCCATTACTTTAGCTTTTGAGGACCCAGGGCCACTTTTCATACTTTCATAAGGCAAGCAAGCAGACTTGAAGACTTGGAGCAGACTAGAAGCATAAGAACCCAAGGTTAGGTGACGGGGAAGTCCTTGGGAAACAAAATCTAACCTTGGTGTTATCATGCTAGCTTGCCTCTACAGTGTTTCCAAATTCTCCAGGACACTACTCACTGCCATTCCCTCTTCCCCCAGATAAGTCCAGCCTCTTGTGTTCAACATTTGTCTCCCTCTATAAATCTGAGCCCCTGTTTCCTATCCAACATTTCCTCCCACTATCCCCTTGTATGAATCATCCCTTTAAAAGGACAAGAATCATGTATCATAAACTTTCATATGGCTCACAGAACCTAGTGTAATTCTGCATATAAAGCAGTGGCTCAATGAATACTTTTGCTGATGCGTAGATTTTAATCTTTCCCTTCAGGATAGCGTGTAAGCTTCCTGAGGACAGAGGTCTTGGCATCCCTAGTGCCTAGCACAGTGCTGACACATAGTAAAGGCTTAATAAATGCTTACTGAATGATTATCCACCCACCGTGATTTCCATATACTCCTGAGTCTCCTGCAAGTTGAATGAGAACTGAATTCTCCCAAAAGAATATAGGTTCCTTGAAGGCAGGGATATTGTTTTTGTCTGTATATGCACAGTGCCTAACATAGTTCCTTGCACATAGTGGTCACAATAAATATTTACTAAATTGAACTGAATTTCTTGCTGCCATAACTCAAGGTAACTAAACACCAAGAGCACCCACAGAAGGCTGATCAAGAAAAACTTCAGGAGAGTATGAGAGGGTGTCTGAAGGCAGAGCTTAAGGAAATTCGAGGAGCTACCTTGCTTCCTGTCCCCTTTTTGTCCCTCTACTTAGTGCTAAGTCACAGGGGAAGACAAAGCAGGATTCAGTTTGCCTATTTCCATGGTAAAGAAGAGATAAAGTCCTTAATTGGAAAAGGATCCCAATAAAAGATAACTCTAACCTTCCATTACTGGGGGAACTCTTCTCTAAGTGGGTTTCAAGTTAAAGGATCCCCCTAAGGGTCTCCTCAATGGGTCTGACCACCAGAAGTTTTCTTTACATTACACGGGATACAACTGCAGAGGAGAGCTAGTACTGTCCTATTAGACCACTAATCCTGCTTGTCACTGCTGGGACAGAAACGTTAATTGAAATGAGCTAATGGCTTACCCCTGGTGCGCCAGGAAACGTGGGGCGTGGGATTCCCGGCAGTCCCAGCTTGTTGTGAATGGCCGTCGCTGAGACTATCTGGGCCGATGACATGGCCGCCATGTGCTGCAATGCTTTATCCTTCGCTGTCTGATCCTTTAATGTGACAGTTACACACTGTCTTAATACAAGGCAACAATCTAACGATCAGCTTAGAACAGCTGTAGCTATTAGCACTTACAACTAAAATGTAAAAGCCACCAAAAAAAATGCCCAAAACAAAGCAACCATGCATAGATAAATACAGCCAAAAGGCTCAACTCTACTTAACCTACCTTGACAACAAAGGTTTTTTCTAATACCCAACTGTACAAATACTTTAGTATTTATATTCTTTCCTGAAAATTCTCGTTTTTAACATATTCAAAATGAGAATGAGCAATATGTCTTTCAACTCTGGGGGTGAAAATTCAGTTATTGATTCGCTCAAGAAGAGAAGGGGGCAGGAGGCCATCTATTTCTGAACACACTGGCCAAGGGATCTAAGGTTTGGAGATGGGTTTGGGGCCAGTGAATCAAGCCCTGAAAAAGGTAGACTGGAATTGTAGGGATCTTCACATACTTCCCCCAAACACAAGGGCTCCTGAATTCAGGTGGGATGCTGAAACACTGATTAGAAGAACTAGTGGTGAAGGAAGGCCAGAAGCAATAATGCAAGGTCACTGGTATAAGCAAACTGGCAGACATGCTTGGGGGAGCAGCGGCCGCATGCTCTCTTAGATACACGAGACATGTTTCCTTTAAAGCTGAAAGCATGTGTAGTAATGCTAACTTTCAAATGCTCCTTTCAGAAAACAGCAAAGGCTGAAGATACAGTCAAAGCTAGCCAAAAATTCTGCCAAGCACAGCTCAAGTATATCATATTGGTTTAATGAAAATACTTACCATGCTTGTTACCTGGATACAATAACAAACAGTTTGTTAAAATGGTTGTGGTACAACAGCAGGGTTTGTTTTTCTTCAATAAAAAAGTATATGTACATCTACGTATGTAGCATGTATGTGTGTACATATGTATGTATGCAGACATACATGCATATATTAGGGCATAAAACACATATAAAAATAAACTTCCCCATGTGTCAGAACAGACAATTTAGGTATTCACCCAGAAATTGATCGAAAAATGGTTACCCTAGACTCCTGCCCCAAACATAACAAAGCAAGTCTTAAGTTGATTTTGTGGTTTGTTTTTCCCCAACTACAGATAATAGAGTCTAACAGAAGCCCAAATGGAAAGTGATCAAAGTCCTCATGTCAGCAACTCCCACTACCAAAGGGAAGGCAATTTATACTTGGCCGCCATAAGCAAACACAGGAAGGATCACTTCTTCTGGGTGAATGTGCTATTAACAGTTAATAGAATTTCTGCACAAGCACCAGGCAAGAAGAGAAACTTGCAGGTAAAACACACATGCCAGTGGCACCTGAATCTGTGTGCCATCCACCCAGAGAAACTCAGCGATAAGAGATGGATTCATTCCTTCCCACACATCAAAGTAGCAATCATACGATAGCAGAGAAACAAAACCCATTTACGGCCATGTACAAAGATGTCACTCCTAATTAAGCTGTGGCTTCAGGACAAGCTGAGACAGACGTCATCGAAATGTTTACAGATTCTACCAAAGCAGTGGAACACCACAGATGAACACCCTGGGTGCTGTGTCACAACTGGCATGATATGCTAGCTAGTCTGAACGAGATGAAATATAAAGCTCCCAGACAATCATCAGGGCAGTACCTGCAACTCAGAGCAAACAGCCAAACCCTCACTGGCTTCTTATCATCTGCACACAACAAGATCTGTCCCATATAACTGGAGTTTGATTCCCGAAGCCTGTAATATCTTCTTTTTTTTTTAACCATTTTTGGATAAAAATCTTTCTAAAACACATCCATCCCCACCTTCATAAACAAAGGATACCAAACACAATTTGCCCTTTTTTGATAAGTCAGAACCATCACTTTGGTATGTCAGAACCATCGCTATGATGTAACTGTGCAGAATAAACACTCTATAGAAATGGCCTCAGGGTCTACTGCTGATTCATGGCTGAATAGGCCTAGAAATCCCCTTTGAACTCAAGTCTTAGTGAGGATGTTCGAAGACTCCTCCCTCCCCAGGAGCTGTCTTTTCTCAGAGTTTCAGCTTTTACTTGCCTACTTCACTTGGTTGTTTCCAATCTTGTTCTTACTGTACTGTTTCCAAACAATCATATAGTATTATGCCTAGAACTTTTTTTTTTTTAAATCTAGACCCGTGATATAAATCAAGAACTCTTCAGTAATTTAGCATCTCAGAATAGCTTGGGGCACTGAAAAGTGACTCTCTCAAATCCAGTTTGTGTCACTGGCAGTATGTGAACTGGGAATCAGGAATACCTGAGTCTAAGTCTATCTCTGACACTTACTAGCTAAGTGACCTAGGGATAAGTCACTTAACCCTATCAGCCACGGCTTCCTCATCTGTAAAATGGGCGTGGTTAAGAGCATCTACCTCAAGCAGTAGCTGTGAGAATCAAATGAGATCATATATATCTATATCTATATATCTAAATATATATATACACACACCCATATATACAAAAAACATTGTATACATTAAAGAGCTATACAAATTATCAATGTTAGAATAAAATAAAGTTATTAGCTATTAGTATTATTATGACACAATGCCTCTCAATTTACAAGTAGTAGAGGCTTACTAGGTGGCTCAGTGAATAGAGTGCTAGGCCTGGAGTCAGGAAGACTTGAGTTCAATTCCAGCCTCAGACACTTACTAGCTGTGTGACCTTGGGAAAGTCACTTAACCTCTAATTGCTTTAATCTACTGGAGAAAGAAATGGTGAACCATTCTAGTACCTGCCTAGAAAACCCCACGGGCTGTGTGCTATGGTCCACTGGGTCACAAAGAGTAAAACACAAATCAACAACAACAAACAACTATTTATTAAGTATCCATTGAGTTGTCAGCCATGCTTGTTGACTTTAACAGATCTTTGACAAAGAAAGATTGTTAAACTATAAACTTCTTGCTTTTTCCAACTGTAAAGTCTTCATATTGCCTACGGTAGAGCTATAGGTCCAAACAACTGATTACTCAATGAGAGAGAAATGTTCACTAGGTTATTTCTGTTACTCTTTTGAGTTCCTTCAATGAATCTCTCATCTCATCAATGAGGGAGGGTGAGGACAGCCTCCAGCTACTCATTCCACACACCATTCATGCCCTCTCATCCAGTGACCAGTCAATTTCCTACTGGGGAACCATGCCCTGGGGTCCTTTCTCTAGTTCTCCTGAAATCACATGGATACCAGTGAAGCATGTAGGCTTGCCTGCTATCTGATATGCCCACCACCTAACTAGCACAACTTCTTTTTTGATCAGACACCGCTCTGATGACATCTTTCCCACTGCCTCTTTGGAGCAATTCTTGAATCCAGCATGAACAAAAGCACAGACTCCATAGGGGAGGGATCCACTGGTATATACATTAGTAGCTACTGCAGCCGTAGGAGCTCTCAGAAGCAACACAGACATCTCTTTCTTGTTAAGTTGCCGATCTTGAATAGAACACCTTCAAAGAACATAAGGGTTTGAATCTATCTTGGAGAGGCCTCTGCATTTCACACAGGGCTTGGAATCTTGATGACTAGATGATTCCCCGGTGCCTAAGGGCTTTAGGATATTGTCTCCTTGCCAATGACAGAAAAAAATCCCAAATTAAGAGTAGTTCTCTTCTTTCCAAGAGTGGTTTTATTAGTAGCACATTTGTTCATTCTTTCATTCATTCATTCAACAAATACTTAGTGCATATTATATGGAAGACACTACATAATCATGTGAAGGTAGACTAGCTTAAAATGACAAAGATTTTTTGGGACTGTTGAATGAATTTTTAGTTTTATATTTTGGTGAGCATTCTTTTCCCTTTTTCGTATGAAATCTACTTTTGCAAATTTTGATACATTAGGCTTTCATAATAAAAAAACCAAGTTTCATACTCTCCTTTTACCACTCACCACCTTACACACTATGGACCTAACAAAAATATTCAGAGTCAGTATATCAAAGGAAGTTTGAGGTGATCAAAGAATCATGACACTCTAGGCAGGAGGCTTTCAGTTCTAAACCAGCTACTCACGAGCTGTGCCCCCTCAGGCAAATCAACCTCCTTCTCTGAGCTTCAGTTTTTTCATCTGGAAAAAAAGCAAGTTGGACCAAATGATACCTTGGATCCTTCCAAGTTCTGAATTCATGGTACAATAAATATTGTCCCCTTCTTTTAAGTAAATCCATGTTAAGCCATTGCTAAGTTAACATCACTGCTACATATGTCTGCATAGACTCTGGATATACATTTCTGTACATATTATCTATCTTAGTACGTTATATATTACTTGAGGGTAGGGATCCTTCCAGTTTCATCTTTGTATCCTCAGTGCCTAGAACACAGTAGGCCCTTAATAGATATATAATGACTGATCATTTGCTACTGGGAGAGCATCAGGATTTCTTTCCATTCTGATATCTTTCATTTTCTTCTTTTTTTTTTGCAAATAGAAGGGCCAAGAATAGAAAGAAAGTTAATCTCCTGGAAAGAGATTCTCTTTGGACTATGTTGGAGGTGACCTTAAAAGGCCAGATCATTTATGTAAGTTATTTCCAATCTTTTGCAAAGTGAGATGTATTTTATTACTGCTTATTTAATTTTGTAAAAATCTCCTTGCTACTCTACAGCACAGATTTATTTTGAAAATTAGAATAAACGTGTCTAATGTGGAAACATGTTTTGCATGATTTCAAATGCGTAATGGGTATCATATTTCTTTTGCCTTCTCAATGGGTGGGGGAGGGGCTGGAGGGAGAGAATTTGGAACTCTAAAATAAATTTTTAAAAATTTAAATAAGTTTAATATTGTTTTGAGAATTCCACAGAACCTCATGAAAAAACAAGCACCACCTAGGGATACTGCAGGAACAAAACTGGGATAGAGGAAGAGGCTGGGGAGAAGGGGAATAGTGGCTTATACGTTTGGTATGGATGCAGAAGCTACCTCTCACTAAGGCTGGGACAATAACAGAGGACCCCAAGTACCTAACATTTTAATAGTACTTTCAGGCTTACAAAGTACTTTGCTCTCAACAGCCCTGAGAGGTTACCTTAGTAATGAGATAACTAGGCTGTAGGGTTAATAATACTGAACTGAAAGCAGGGAAAGGATGGCAATTTTGATAGCACCTAATGCACTTTACAAAGTCCAGAGATAGATACTCAGATTTGAGAGGTGGAAGCCTAGCACAGAATAGAGAGTGAGAGCATTTGCATGGAACTCAGGAGACTAAAGGCATATGCCCCAGTCTGCTTCCTCTAGAAAGGAAGGGGGCTGACCCAGATGGCCTGGAAGGACCCATCCAGCTCTAAAATTGTCTGAATCAACAAGCAATGGTAAACATTGACTATTTTAGATCTGGGGATAAATGGTATGCTTCTTAGCTCTGACAGAATATTATCAATCTGTGTACCCAAGCTCCAGGACAGCTGATCATTTGAGAAAACAGAATAAATTTAGGTAGGGGGCATCTTTTCCCAATTAAGGTCTGGATAAGCCCATTCTGAATGGCTGGCTCAAAGTTCCTCAGTCCACACAGCTGCAGAGATGAGAGCCAAGGAAGAGCCGTAAGTTTTCTGTGGAAAGCCTGACCAAATGCCAATCTGAGGTGATGGCCTGGAAATCCTGCACTAATTACAGAGCATGTAACTGTAGGGCACACTGGGCAGGCGCAGGGAGGAAGAGCACCTGGGTGCTGGAGTGGGGGTGGGGGATTTTTAGAGAGCACTGTGAGGTTCAGGAAACCCAGCAAGATGATAGCCCCAAATATCAAGATGCTG